TTTGCTCAGCCTAGGCAGAGGGGCAGTCTAGCCAGCTTCTGCCCACAAACCAACCCTACCACCAGACACAATTCATTTTCTTTTTTACCTTTTTATTTCTTTGTCTCTAATTTCTTCTTTCATTCACTGGATCTGTTGTACATGGCTTGTTTTCGTAATGGCGTGCCTTTCCAGGGCCTGGTAGGGCACACATTTCATGAAAAAACCCACCTGTTCCATCTGCAGTGGATCTGCTTTCTTGTCACTGGCCGTTTTAAGTCTACTCTGTCTCTTTAAATGTCCTGTCTGTTTGCTATATATGTGAATGTAAGCTAACTCTCTATAGTCAACTTAAATTCAACTGTGCTAAGTCTCAAATATTTAATGTGTCTAAAACTTATGTTTTCACAAACTCAAAGGATTCTTATAAGTTCCAGGAAGCTGAACTGAACCCACCCAAACAGGTTTGAGAGGCACCAGAGAGTTCCACACAGCATGGACTATGATGAAACAACAGCTACCCCAGGACGCGGCAGCATCCAAGCTCTTTCTCCCCTCTCCAAAGATGGTCAACGCCCCAGAGTCAGCAGGAAGTAGTCTTGAGAACTCAATGTCCTTATTCCCTGTCCTGCTACACCTAACTCTTCAACTTTTTAATAATAAATAAAGGGGAGAATGTAAGGATTCAGGCATTATGCTGGTCTGCCCGGGTCACCTGGCAGAATGCACTCAGGCAGTATCGTGGTCAGCCCAGGGTTCCATGGAAGTACAAAGGACCACTGTAAGAGAAAGACCCACCCACTTAACTGTCTTTCTGCCTGCTTATCTTTTTCTGCTCTCTTTTCTTTCCTGCTTCTCTCTCTCTACTCTCTTCCTGCTCTCCTCTCTTTCCTGCTGTTCCCCTGGGGCAGACTGGACTTTTCCTCTCTCCCTCTTCTCTCCTGTCCTCTCTCTGTCTCTGTGTCTCTTTACCTCTTTTCTCTTCCCTTCCCCCTTCCATCTGTTCCCAGTTGGCCAACACCTACGCCTCCCTTCACTCCCTTTTCCAATAAACTCCATGTGGGTTTGTTGAGTTTGGTGTTTCATTGCCACACAGAAGCTGCAGCAAAACAACAATAGCCACCAACTCACCACAATCCTGCAACCACATGTCACCACAGCAGGCCATGACTTGCTTTTTAATTACAAAGAAAAAATCAATGCAGTAAGGAAACCTAGAAAAGACCACCTTAACAAGACAAGTCACCTGTTAAAAATAATGGGACAGGACCAGGCATTGGGGCCCACACCTTTAATCCCAGTACTTGGAAGGCAGAGGCAGGCAGATCTCTGTGAGTCCAACGCCAACCTGTTCTACAATAGTGAGTTCCAGGACAGCCAGGGCTATGTAGAAAGATTATCTTAAAAACAGACAAAAAACAAAGAATAATAGGATAAATGGCATTATTCTTTTCAAAAACAAACATCCTGCCACATAGAGACAGATGTGCCAACTAAATGCATGAGTGACAATGAATTGGATTGCATTACTGAGGCAACCTGGCAAAACCTGCACATGTGCTACATTAGATAATATTAAATGCCCTGAATTTGATAACTGTTCCATCGTTATATAAAACATCATCTTTATACAAAAAAAGCATTCAGTTTATAAATAGCTTATAAGAGTTACGTGGCATATAGGGCACCCAACTATCACATCTCAACTTACCCTCACAAGTGTGTGTGTCAGTAAACCTAGATAAAGTGGACTGAGGGATTTGTTATTCTTGTAACTCCTGTAAGTCTGGTATTTTTCAAAATAAAAGTTTTTATATGCTATGAAAATAGGCTATATCTGGGTTGTAGAATTTCATGCATTGCATTCCCCTTTTAAAATACTAACATTCTGGATTTTTTTGTCATGCAATTGTAATATTTTCAAATTGCAAAAGCTACTTTTACTTTAGATAGAAAACTGACTGTGTGCAATACAGAACAGGACTTCCTCAACGTTCATTTTAATTTATTACATGTTACACATGAGCACGTCAGATGATGTCTGTTAAAGAGTCTTCAACACTAAATTACTACTTTTAGACTGGCTGCTTTCACCATAGATTCATGGAATTAATCAAGTTACCACTTCTCTTTTCATAACTGGTTATTTTTAATTTTTACATAAACAACTGTAACATGAAGCAATTAACTCATTTCCTATCACAGAAGCTTCTGGTATTTCTAGACTGATTTTTTTCTTCACATTTCACTCTCTACCTCAGTGTTTAAGAGTACTTGCTGCTCTTGTTCTTGCAGAGGAGGGTTAGACTTTCAGTGCCCACTGATAACCGTCCACAATTCCAGTTACAGGCATCTGATGCCCTTTTCTGGCATCTGATAGCCCTCAGGAACATACACAGTACCTACATACAGGCAGGCAAAACAAACATAATAAATAAATACACCTTTAAAATTCAAAAGCAAAACCAAAAAAACAGGCCAAAGCTGGACCCTATCTCTAAAACACAACAAAAATGTAAAGGAGAGCAGTGAACATTCAAGGTTGTCCTCCAGCCTCTACACACACAAAAGAACTGTTGCTGCCCTAGGCTGTGTGTCGTGGTGGCAAACACCTATAAACACAGCTTTGGGGAGGCAGGACAAGAGAATCACAAGTTTGGAGCAAGCCTGGTCTACACTGAGCTTGGCCAGCAGAGAGACTATCTCAATAAAAACAAAAACAAGTTGTGCATGCAGAGGAAAGGGAGAGGGAAGGGAAAGAGACATTACCCCCTCAAAAGGAAAAATCAGTTGAAGATCAGTTGAAGATGGTTAATTTGAAGGTTTATCAAACAGAAGTGGAGTCTAGAAGATAGGTGTTAATTCTGGGCCACCAGTGGATACGAATAATAGTAATCGGCCTGATGAGATGGCTCAATGGGCTAAGGTGCTTTCTGAATTCAATCCAGGCAACCCACCAAGTTGAATGAGAAAATAAGACACCTCCAAAATGTCCTGATGAACCTACACCCTACACACACACACACACACACACACACACACACACACACACACACCAGTAATTTTTTAAAAATCTAGCCCTTGCCAGGTAGTGGTAAGACACACCTTTGATACCAGCTCTGAGGATGCAGAGGAAGGTGGATCTCTGAGTTCGAGGCCAGCCTGACTTACAGAGTAAGTTCCAGGACAGCCAGGATCACACAGAAAGGCCCCTGTCTCCAAAAAACAAGAATCTAGCTAAAAATCGAATCTCTAAAGTTAAGAGGGTAAGACAAAGTACCTTAGAGAGGTGATGGGGGAAGTCCTGTGCATTTGTCAATAAAGCACTGTCTGGCCAATAGGGAATCTAGATAGGAGGGACTAGGAGTCCAGAAGGACTCTGGGTAAGAGAAACACAAAAGATTCAAGATGTAACCGCCATGGGGTAGGAAGCCTGGAACTATTCTCCAGTAAGAAACATACTTAGATTAACAATTATGGGGTAATTACTTAAGTCAGAGCTAGCCAGTAAGAAACAAGCAAGGCCAACAGCTTCATAATTAATATAGCCTCCTGTGTGTTTATTTGGGACTGATGCGGCTCTAGAACCAGGCTGGCGGGAAGGCTTCTCTCAAAGAAAAAGCTTCCCATTACAGAGGGGCAACCAGTCCAGCTCAATGCCACATTCATTCCAAGGCAAGGTCTCACTATGCTGCCCAGGTTGGTCTCAAACTCCAGGGTTCAAACTGTCTCAACCTCCTGAGTATTTGGAGCAACAGGCCTAATAACTCCTTGGAAAGAACATTTAATAATATTTTGGCTACTTTATAAAGCTTTATCTTTGGGTTTTTTACTGATTTTCAAAATTTTAATCTTTTTATTTTTATGTGTACAGGTATTTTGCCTCCATTATGTCTGTGCATCACATGCCTGCAGCTCCTGTGGAGGCCAGAAGAGTGACCAGATAGATCTCTTGGAACTGGAGTTACAGATGGTTCTAAGCCACCATGTAGGTGTTCAAAATTGAACCCAGGTCCTTTGGAAGTACAGCCTGTGCTCTTAAGCACTGAGCCATCTCCCTAGTTTCAATTTTAATTTTTGACGACAGTCCTATGTACCCCAAGTTTCAATCAAATCATCACTGAATTAAACACGAGAAAACCTCTCAACAGGGTCTGTCCAGCATATATAAGGCCCTGGGTTTGGTTTCCAGAACCACAAAAACAATGCAAATTTTGTTTGGTACAAATTAATCTTTGAGTTGTCACCTATGCCTTTTTTGTTTTGTTTTTTCGAGACAGGGTTTCTCTGTATTGGTTTAGAGGCTGTCCTGGAACTCGCTCTGTAGACCAGGCTGGCCTCAAAACTCACAGAGATGCGCCTGCCTCTGCCTCCCGAGTGCTGGGATTAAAGGCGTGCACCACCACTGCCGGGTTGCCTTTTCTTATTTAAGAAACCATCCACTCAGGCTGGAGAGATGGCTCAGAGGTTAAGAGCACTGATTGCTCTTCCAGAGGTCCTGAGTTCAATTCCCAGCAACCACATGGTGGCTCACAGCCATCCGTGATAAGATCTGGTGCCCTCTTCTGGAATGGAGGCAGAACAGTGTATACATAATAAATCTTTAAAAAAAAAAAAAGATACCATCTACTCTCCGATTTCGGACTCCATATGCTTAATGTTATTGTTATTTCTCTTAACAGACTCAACTAGTCCTTCTCAACCTGCTCTGAAATTTTAATTCCCCGGGAATGCTCTCAACTGCACCCTGTCACTGCAAACATTCCACTCCTCTCTGGTACCCAATACCCAACCAAAGAGCAGTTAACAATTTTAACATGTTCCAGAGAGTCAAGCTCGAAGACGAAAGACTCAGATAGGGGGGAAAATCTGGAGGTTTTGCAAGCAGAAACGTTGGTGTCATCACTGGGCTAAGAGAAATGCAACACTTGTTCCTACAATTTCAGCCTTCTTCCGCAACCTTTGATCAGTAAATAGCAACATGACCCCATCTCATTACTGTTACTAATAATGGTACCTACCCAGTATCTCCCAATCCGTGAAGGAAAATAACCTAAAAAGAAAAGAAGAAAAGATAAGCCCACACTGAACTGTTATACGCTGTAGCTCTGGCTAAGCTACAAAGGCGAATGAAGGTCCTGAAAACTCATAACACTATTCCACAAGCTAATTAATTCCCATACGCCTTGCTTTTCATTGCTGAAAGAATGCGGCGTCCTAGCACTTAGAGGCAAACCACAGTCTGATCAAGATAGCCGTCTCTCTAAAATCAAGTCACGAAAGCCTCACAAGCACAGTCGAATTCTTTTTCGTCACAAAAGTTTCCGGGAGCAAAAGTTAAACTGAGCTCCTGCGGCACAGTTACACACGCAGGTCGGCTGTTTCAGCACCAGCCTTGGGACTGGCTTCTGGGGGCGGTGAGAGTGCGAGGCAGGCAGGCAGGCTGCGCCCCGCCGGCTCGGATTCCCGGCCGCGACCCCGGGCGAGCCCGCGAGCGGCGCGGACACATCCACGCGTGGCGGCCTGGGTCCCGCTGCGCCCGCTGGGCCCCCAGCCCCGGCCGCCGCCACTCACCGCGGCGGTGGCCTTGCGAGCGGCGGGCACGACGGCGGGCAACGGGGCAGACATGTTGTTGCCGCACATACACCGGCAGGCGGACAGCGCGTCGGAAGCGGAAGGGAGCTCGGGCGCCCGGCCGAAGGGCGTGCGAGCCGAGAGTCCCAGCCCGCCCCTCCGGGCGCGCGCTCAGGCGCGTGCGCGCCCACGCGCCGCCCTTCCCGGCTCCGCGCGCTCCGCCCGCCTCGGCCCCGAGACCCCGCCCCTCCGCGGACGCGCGTGCGCGTCACAATATGGCTTCCCGCGAGGCGCCGGAGCTGAACGCCGCCGCGGCTGACCTCAGGTCACACCCTCTTGGCTGGCAGCGGGGAGCCGTGCGAGCTCTTGTTGTGGTCCCTACTGGCTTGACTCCCGAACCCGCTTCCCCAAACAGGTCAGCGCTATTAACTAATGGGCAGGGATTTATTGAGATACTAGCCGGTTTAAGCTTGAGACTAAATGGCCACCTTTCTGTGCGGGTTGCATTTTTAGTTTAATGCATACTTGATACGTTTGAGTTGAGGAGGGTCAAAGACAAAGATCTAAGGCCAAAATGCTGTGACCTTCCGAAGTCTACAATTCAGTGAGGACACCAAATAAACAGATTTTAGGGAACATTCTTTAAGACTGGGAAGGTATCATCGGTGAACCAAACATTTAACGACAGCCCACTTAATTAAATTACATAGGACAATCTCAGTGAGGGATTTGGAGGTCTTACTGGAAACTGTTTTAAATCATTCTTGTTTTGGATTTTAATGATGAAAATTTTATAGATTCTCAAAAACGGTTAAATTGATGATAATTTCTCCAAAACGATAGGTTATGGAACACACAAGACTTAGACTTTTTGGTTTTTCGAGAAAAGGTTTCTCTGTGTGTCGTTGGCTGTCCTGGGACTCTCACTTTGTAGATTCTATAGAATTCCTAAGGCCTCTGTCCCCTGAGTGCTAGGACTAAAGGTGTGGGCTGCCACACCCTGCGATGCCACTGTCTATTTGAGTCAAGCTGTTGGGGCTGTAAAAGAAAGCTCAGCTGTCATCAGCTCTCAGTACCAACATGAAATGATCCTAATCACTGTTAGGTGAGTTTCTTTGTGATGAAATATGTAGATTTCCAGAGCCTACCATTATCCCACTAGAGAGAACAAGGACACCTCAAGTTGGGGTACCTATAATCTATTCTTCCTCCAAGTTCCTGCAATGTTTCTGGAGGTTTATATTCTCCAATGAGCTTGTTTCTGTTGTTCTCAATTATTTCTTTCTTCCCCAGGTAAGGGAAAGAAGTAAATATAAAAATGTTTTAAAAGGAAAAAAGTTAAAAAGTATTCAGATGATATATATGATTGTACAAAATAAAACAAAGTTACCAATAAGAAAATTTAGCAATATAGCCATACTAGGTCAGTACACATGCAGCAAAGTGGATTTTTAGATATAAGCAATAGCCCATTAGTTATGTAACAATACAACAGTCACAATAAAGACTTTAAAATATAAGCAACTTTATTGAATATCACTGACAAAATGCTGTGTAAATTTGGGGATAAGTACATACCTGTGAAACCATGGTTATCAAGATCATAAGCATCATCACCACCTGTAGCTGGATTTATCTTTGGGCCCCCAACCAGCTCCCAAATAATGATAGGGAGACTTCTTTTTTTTTTAAATTTCTTATTCATTTTACATACCAACCACAGTTCCCCCTTCCTCCCCTCCTCCCACTCCCCCCACCTCCCCAACAAAAGTTTCTGTCCCCCCACCATACCATCCCACAGCTGTTTAGGCCCACATAAACACACACAGGTTTACATTAATTATAAACTGTTTGTCTGATGGCTCAGGTTTCTTATTGGCTACCTCTCAATGATTTATCCATTTCTATTAATCTGTGTATCTCCACATGGTCTTATCTTACTCGAGAATGCCTGGATGTCCTACCTTCCCTGTAGCTACATAGCATCTTCTTGACTCCACCATTACCTTTATCCCTGTTTTGATTTTCCATCTGGCTAAATTCTGCGTGTTCATTAGCCAAAACAGCTTTATCAACCAACAAGAGAAACACATTCACAGCATACAGAAGGGCATCCCCCCCATCAACCTGCCATCTCCTGCCCTGGAATCTCCCTGGTGTCTCCGTCTCTTCTTCTGTCTCTCTTAAGATTAGATTCCTCCTCCTCATTCTCTCAACCTAGAATTCCCATTTATACCTCCTGTTTAGCTATTGGCATTTAGCGTTTTATTAGATCAATCAGGTGCCTTAGACAGGCAAGGCAAACAAATACAACACGTCTTTACATAGTTAAACAAATATTCCGCAACATAGACAAATGCTACACATCTTTACATAGTTAAACTAGTGTTTTACAACAATCACCCATCAAAACTGTGGGTATTATTACTGTGGGTATTATTTTTACTACATAAAGATTTATCTACATAAAAATTATGTTAGTAGAGGCTGGAGAGATGGCTCAGAGGTTAAGAGCACTGACTGCTCTTCCAGAGGTCCTGAGTTCAATTCCCAGCAACCACATGGTGGCTCACAACCATCTGTAATGAGATCTGGCCTGTGGACATACATGCAGACAGAATATTGTATACATAATGAATAAATAAATCTTTAAAAAATTTATCTTAGTAATTTTAAGTGTTTGGTGCTCTTGTCAAATTAGTTTTTACATGGTGGGAGATATCCGTCTGTATGCTGGGAATATATGATGCTCTTATTGGTTGATGAATAAACCTGTTTGACCAAATAGACAGGCAGGATTTAGCCAGGCGAAAAATCTAAACAAGAATAGAGAAAGTAGTAGGTGGAGTCAGGGAGATGCCATGTAGCTGTTGAGGAAGAAAGAGACCTAGTCATTATTGGGAAGCCAAGACCAAGTAGAGACAGACAGATTAATACGAATGGGTTGGTAATTAAGGGAGAGCTAACCAATAATGAGCCTAAGCCATCAGCCAAACAGCTTATAATTAATAAAAGCTTCTGCGTGTTTATTTGGGACTAAAGGGCTGCAGAATGTGGTGGGACAGAAACTTCAGTCAACATGTAGCACCCAAACGTTTGGTAAGAATTTCCACGTAAAACCTGACAGAGGCTTAAAAAGAAGAGAATCAAGAAGCATGGCTTCTTGATAACAGCATTTTATCGGGTGGACTGTTTGCTAGAGGCAAGCGGAGGCTCATCTCCTTTAAGACAGGTTTCCTGACTTAGTGTTAGTGGCAAAACCCGCAAGGATCTTTTAGAGGTTCTGCTACCAAACACTTAAAGATGATTTTTATGAGCAGCCAGCAGCATGCTTCTTGGTGGTGGCATGGACCAAGAAGCTCCACAGAGTTGTGACAATAAACATGGCTCCCACCAGTACCTGTGTCATGCAGCTAAATTTTCAGGAAACCAAGGAATGGGGCAGAGCCAGCCGCTGCTTTAATCCTAGCCATATCATGTAGCAGATTAAAGACTAATGTGGTCAGAAAAAGATAGAGATTTAAAGACTGATTCAGAGGGGGAAATCCTCTAAACAGTTTACAGTGTGTTTAAAACTATGCGTAGGCTTGAGAGAGAAAAGAAAAAAGATAAAAATCTTTAAAAAAGAATAGAGTAGCTGGGTGTGGTGGCACATGCCTTTAATCCCAGCTCTCCAAAGGCAGAGGTAGTAGGATCTCTGTGATTTCAAGCCCATTCTGGTCTACAGAGTGAGTTTCAGGACAGCCAAATATACACAAAGAAACTGTCTCAAGAAACCAAAAAATAAAAAATAGAAGAAATAAAGTAATTAAAAAAAATGTCGCGTATGCTTCGAAGCCTGTATCCGAGAATGTGGCGAGGGTGTCGGGACTGATGACACAGAGACCAGTCGATTGCGTTAAGAAATCTTTATGCTCCCCAAATCGGCTTAGGAGAACTTCCCAAGAAAACGCTTCCCTCCAGAAAAACTTCTGCCATACATACATGCACACATCTCCCACACCTCTCTTTCTCCTCCTGGCTGGTGGTTAAATCCCTGACACCAGAATCGGGAACAGCGGGGGGGGGGGACAGGAAGAAGTGGCTAGCCATCAGGAAGATCAAAGTCAGGGTGTTTCAGTGAGCCAGCCCTTATCAAGCCCTATCAGGAGCTTATGGCACTGGATTGTTTTCAGTAAACATTGTCTCGCAGCTGCCTGCTCCCAGGCTGATGGAGGAATGGGTTTCCGGACAGGGTCTGTTGTCCCCACAAAAAAAGCCACATAAAGATGGAAAATACACAATCTCGATGTTGTATGTTGTGTTTTCTTTAAATTGTTTGCTGAGGAAGGAGCAACAGCTGCAAAAAGACATTTGATTATAAATGTTGCTGGATTAATCCAACACACACACACACATATATATATATATATATATATATATATGAAATTGCCTTTACTTCAGAATTTAAGTTAAAAGATATATTACTTTGGAAAAGAGGTTTTGCTTTTGTTACCATGGGTAACAAGAGGTTGTGGATTAATTCTGCATTAAGAAAAATAAGGTTTGATAGAGGAAGACCCTCTGAAAAATCTCCAAAGGGAATGGATGACCTGGATAATCCAAAGTTTTAGAGCACCTCTGTTTCAGTTTCTTCTGAGTTCTGCATCCAAAACAACTTCAAGGCTGCTGGTTGAGATGATTCAGCCTCACTGAATACTCCAGTCAGGTCTTGACCATGATCTTAAATTTTGCCTATGAGATTACCACTGCCCCCAGCCAACAGGAAGCAGCCTAGAAAACTACACCTACATTCCAAGAAAATGGATTATGGATGTTTGTCTTTGTTGGTTACAAGTTGTTATGAATAATGGTCAGGAAAAGTGCTAAAAAATGGAGATTAGATTCAGTGTTCTTGTTTTGAAAAGAAAAACGGGAAATGATGTGGGATAGTTGTGCCCAAATTGCAAAGTCCCCAGACACCACCAAGAAGACAGACCCACCAAACTGTAAAAGCAAGATTTTAATTGTATTGATTGTTCATCCAACCATGACAGGAACCCCATCTAGCAAGCTGATGCAGCAGCCTCCAGAGGGAGTGAAGTTCCCTGCCTACTGCTAGATTTTAAAGACAAAAGTTACAGGATTACAACAGTAGGTACGGGTTGGTTTCTGATTGGTTGACATTTCAGAACAATTAGGAGAATTTCTCAAAGTCCTATTTTGGCATGAAATACCTGTATGCCAATTATTCTCATTGGTCAGTGTTGAGAGGGAACATTCTGTGGTTTCTATGGCATTGTCTTGTTATTTGCAGGTGGCCTGTTGTTAATAGATAACAATAGTTTTTAGAACTGTATCCTGGAGATCACAAGGGAGTGTTTGGTCTCCCCTGGAGTTTCTTTTGTGGCCGAACAGTTCCCAGGAACCAAGTAT